TGTAGTGACTGCACCCCATGGTACATGCAGGGGAGGGAGTGATGAGAAATGCACCTCACGAAGGATGCAGGAGCCAGATCACGAAGGGCCACAGAAAGCAGCTAAGGAATTTGTGCCAATGGTTGTGGGACTCTGCTTACATAGGAATTGACATCACCAGATTTTTATTTTATAGGAATGGCTGCCAGCTATGTAGAGAATGGAATAGAGGAGATAAGACTAGAGGCTGGGGCCCAGATACCTATATTTGTTTGAGAGCAAGTGACCAAAAATAGTATTTTGTGTCCAGACACAGTGGCTCACACCTGTAATCCCAGCACTTTAGGAGGCCAAGGCCAGATCACCTGAGGTCAGGAGTTTAAGAGCAGCCTGGCCAACATGGTGAAACCCCATCTCTACTAAAAATACAAAAATTAGCCAGGCGTGGTGACACACACCTATAATCCCAGTTACTCGGGAGGCTGAGGCAGGGAGCATCTCTTGAACCAGGAGGCAGAGGTTGCAGTGAGCCAAGATTGCACCACTACACTCCATCCTGGGCAACAGAGCAAGACTCCTCTCAAAAAACATACGTAAATATGTTTTCTGGGAAACAGAGACCACCATGTGAATGACATTTGCTTGCTGTTTTGTATGCAGTTCCACCTTTGGCCTGTTTTTAAATTCCTTTCCTCCATATAGATATCTTTATTAATCCTGTGATGTCTCCTGATTGGAGGGTTTCTCATGTGGTTGACATTTTGTTGTTACACAACTTGAATTTAAATTCAGTCCTCTAGCTAGGCTTTCATTCTGGGCTTGGTAAACTGCCATATGCCTTTAGACCTTCCATAAAAAATAATTTATGAACTTTTGAGCAAGATTGGTGTTCCCAAAGCTAAAGCCAGACCCTTGAGGCTTAGCTAGCCTTAATCTAAAAAGATGTAAGTAAAAGGACGGTTATCCCAAATTGGGAAAAAAATATTGCCCTTGCCTTTACTGTGTACTTCCATATTTAAATCCAGACTGACTCATATTTTCTAGATCTGTCTACTTGACTCCCTAGCTAGAGCTCCCAGAGGGATGTCTTTCGCCTAGAGACTTATTCAGGTCCCCAGCAACTATTCCATACGCCCATCTCACCCTCCTCCTCGTTGGGGAAGATTTAAAGTGAAAATGTAGCATAAACAGGGTCTTAAATCTTGTCCTAAGAATTTGCTAATGACAATACCAAAAGGCCATCTTGGGTCTTGGTGTCCTGCATTAAACAAGCAGACTCAAAATTTATTATAACACTACAAGCACTCTATAGGTCATAGGCGTCTTGAGTCACATCATATAAAATAAAGTATTTTTAGATATTCTTAAGGAAAGGTCAGCAGGACCAAAATTATCCTCCTTTTATGGTTAAGTTTATACTGAGGAGAATTTTTTTTAAATAATCTGGAATTTGCACTTGCATTTTCCATTTGTGACCAAAAAAACACAAAACCATGAAGGGACTGAGGCTGACTTTCAGGCCTTCTCCCATTGGTTCCTGTTGGGCCCACCAAGTCCCTGTGCAAAGCTATGAGAAGGTAAAGGTGCTTTCTGAGACCTGTTTGGCAATGGATATATCCCCTCCATGGTGACGAAACATTGCAAGTTATGGGGTGTATTTCATGACAGCATGTTTACCACAAAGGGTGCTCATGCCTCAGAACTGGTACACATAGACAAAGACCCTAAACAGATTTACAGAAGCTCCTGCCAGCACCTCCGACAGCTACTGCCCTTGTAACCACTGGATATTTGGCCACTTTGGACCCTAAGAGTGTGATAATCTTTCTCAAACCCTGACATACATCTAGGAAGGAGCCAGGTGGTCCACCTGGCCTAGTAAGGTGGCTCTTCGAAGTTGATCCCTACTGTGACACCAGATAGGGTCCAAAAGAAGGTCCCATACCAAGGCGACCTGAAACAATGGGAATAAATATAACTATGTTTCTTTTCTTTTTATTTTATTTTTTTCAGACAGAGTTTCATTCTTGTTGCCCAGGCTTGAGTGCAATAGTGCCATCTCAGCTCATTGCAACCTCTGCCTCCCGAGTTCAAGCAGTTCTCCTGCCTCAGCCTCCCAAGTAGCTGGGATTACAGGTGCCTGCCACCATGCCTAGCTAATTGTATTTTTAGTAGAGATGGGATTTTGCCATGTTGGCCAAGCTAGTCTCAATCTTCTGACCTCAAGTGATCCACCCACCTCGGCCTCCCAAAGTGCTGGGATTACAGAGGTGAGCCACCGCACCCGGGGCCAACTATGTTTCATTTCTATTGAAAACAACAAACAACGACTTGGGAATTAAACATAGCCAACACAGATTTAAATAAAAGGAAATGTTAAGGAGCCATATTCCAAGCTAGAATCTGATGCCCTTTCCTACTTTTCAAGTTTTGGGTGTTTGGTGAAGGATCCCATGATTTGAAGAAAGCAAAACAGGCTTGGGATGAGACCCCATCTAGAAAGGGTCATCTCTAAAACTGCCTGATTATCTGGCGGGAATGCTATCTCCTCACTAAAAGCCTGTGGTTAGATTAATGTTAGCATCTGAAAATCTGCTAAGGCCTGATGGTGGGCAGCCAAGGAAGGAATGTGTTTTCTGTTTATCTCTTTAGTGTCAGAAATGTTCATCACAGAAAGACTGTGAACTCCCAGTTTCGGGCATGCCTGGAAGTTGTGTAGTCTATAGTCTGTATAAACTGTAAAAAATGGAATGTGCACACCAGATTCTGAAAGACAAAAAAGAACCAGGCCTTTGTTTCCGGCCAGTTGCCTGGTTCGTCAGTGGGTTAATCAGTTTCTTTGACTTGATAACAGGGATAGATCTGAAAGGAGGTTGTACCACCCCCACTGCTCTATCTCCCTGGAATGCAGCTTGAGTTGTGTCTCCTCCTTGATAGCCTGGACCTCAGCAAATTACCAAGGTCTTGACCCAAGAGATGGAGAAGTCCTAAGTGATTTTTCAGTCTCCTATCTAAAAATGTGTTTACATTTCTTGAACTCTGGCTGACTGATTCATTCTCCTGGTGTTGCAAGAACTTTCCTTATGCATTAGAATTTATAAGTTTCATTTCTAAGAGGCCCATGGTTCCTTCCAAGCCACAGTGAAGTGAACCTCATCACAAGACAATTCTGCTGGGCTGGATTTGTCCCGAGGGTGGATCATGGCCAAGCAGCTGTGATGTGGCAAGCTCAGTGAGACTAATGGGAGGCGGTGTGATGTGGAGCGGAAAGCGCAAGACACTAAGTCAGGACATCTGGGTTCTGCGTCCTGGACTTGTGTTCTTTCAAGGTGTGGCCGTGAGCCAAGTGAATGAAAACACTTTCAAGGGCCTCAGTTTCCCCCAAGCTGATTTAAATTTAAAAAAAAAAATTTTTTTTTTGAGACACAGTCTCACTCTATCACCTAGGCTGGAGACCAGTGGTGCAATCTTGGCTCAAAGCGACTTCTACCTCCCTAGTTCAAGTGATTCTTGTGCCTCAGCCTCCTGAGTAACTGGGATTACAGACATGCACCATCATACCCTGCTAAGAAATGTTCTAAATCTGTGCAAAAGTCATTTTTCAAAGACAGAAGAAGATAGCTGAGAAACAACAGAAATGGGAAGGTCAAGCCCGCAAAGAATGAGTAGAGGCTTAAGGTCAAAAAGACAGACAGAGTCGTATACGGCCATTGGCTCCTAAAAGAGCTACTTATGAGTACCAAGTATGGAAAGGACTTTTTGCTGGACACTGGTCCCGCAGAAGAGTGGCAGAAATGTTCATCACAGGACTGTGAACTCCCAGTTTCAAGCGTGCCTGGAGTTGTGCAGAAGAGACTAAAATCCTTGTCAATAGAGCCATGTGCTTAGCTAAATCTGTTCCTCAGATAAACATACCTTTAGAATATTAAACTTACTTTTTTTTTGAGATGGAGTCCCGCTCTGTCACCCAGGCTGAAGTGCAGTGGCACGATCTCAGCTCACCGCAAACTCTCCCAGGTTCAAGCATTCTCCTGCCTCAGCCTTGTGTGTAGCTGTGACTACAGGCATGTACCACACACATCCCACTAATTTTTGGTATTTTTAGTAGAGACAGGATTTCACCATGTTGGCCAGGCTAGTCTCAAACACCTGGCCTCAAGCAATCTGCCCACATCTGTCTTCCAATGTGCTGGGATTACGGGCATGAGCCACCACACCTGACCAAATTTACTTTCTTAAAGGAAAAAAAGAAAAGCAAAATAAAACCTATCCTTTTGCGCTATGGAGTTTTAGAGTTCAGCAGTCTTAGAGGGAAATCCTTACTCAAAAACCTCACTAATGGTACAACCTTGAGTGGATTACTATGCCTTTTGAACCTCAGCTGCCACACCTCTGGAGAACAGTGGTAACAACAGCCATGGAGGGGAGCCATGGGCATCACACCACAGCCCCGTGCTGGTGTCCGCTGCTTCCCGGCAGGCTCCACGGTTTCCATGGCTTCCGTTGGTCTACTCCCTCCAGCCCCACTTTGGCCTTTGCCTTTGTTTGATTCATGCTTCCACCTCTCCTCTTGCCCCGCCACGTTATGAGAGAAAAGGGAAGTCTCTGATCTATTTGGAAGTTTGCAGAAGCATGTTCCTACTTCAGTGAAGTGCAGTCATACAAAATTTATACTCAACAGCATCAGCAGATTTTTTTCCATCAATATTTCCTTTTTAATTTCAGCTTTATCTGAATTTTAATAGCATAAAAAATTCACTTTTGTTCTTTTAAAGAGCAACCAAAACAAGAATAATATCTATTTGAATATAAGGTCTTAACACTATATTTACCACGATTTTTAGACTGTGCCTATAGAGGTTACAGGGGTTATTTGGTGAGTAAATTATGAATGCCATGGCTGTATATGTGCTTATAATCTTACACACATATGAACTAGGTGTGTGTATGGTATATATAAAAAGTCATAAGATCCAGATCTGACCACCTTGATCTTTGTTCCTCTTTGATTTTCACTATAGCAGACACTGAAACTAGAGCCGATCTTCACATGAACCTTTATGAAACCTCACCGTTGACCCAAACAACAGAGAAGCAGGTACAGTATTGACTCTGAATGAGGATGGCGTTGGGAGTCACAACTCTTGGGTTCTTGTCTCAGCTTGCTGTGAGACTCTTTAGCTCTCTGGTCCTCATTTGCCTAATCAGTAAAATGAGACAAGTAGACTCTGAAATCACAGGGGTTCCTTTACTCCTTGGAATGTCTTAACTTGGACTGTACCATTTAGCTCTTCATGTGTGTGAATAAGCTGAATAGGCCTTTCCCTGACTTCTGCAAAGTCAAAAAGAAAATAAGGGAACATAAAAAGGTGGCATTCAATGAAGCAGTAGGCACCAATTTTCATTCGTAATACAGATAAAAATTAGCAATTAAGAAAAAAAAGTGCAAGGGTAATCATAAAGAAAGGAGGATGGTGCTTCATCTGGATACATTAAGAATTTCTATTAGCAGGCCGGTCGCAGTGGCTCACACCTGTAATTCCTAACACTTTGGGAGGCTGAGGTGGGTAGATAACCTGAGGTCAGCAGTTCAAGACCAGCCTGACCAACATGGTGAAACCCCGTCTCCACTGAAAATACAAAAAAAAAAATTGGCTAGGCGTGGTGGCACGCACCTGTAATCCCAGCTACTCAGGAGGCTAAGATGGGAGAATTGCTTGAACCTGGGAGGCGGAGGTTGCAGTGAGCTGAGATCACGCCACTGCACTCCAGCCTAGGTGACAGAGCGAGACTCCGTCTCAAAAAAAGAAAAAATTTCTATTAGCAGGCAGGTCAAGGTGGCTCACACTCACATCAGCTCACGCCTGTAATCCCAGCACTATGGGAGGCTGAGGCAGGCAGATCACCTGAAGTCAGGAGTTCAAGACCAGCTTGTAAAACATGGTGAAACCCTGTCTCTACCAAAAATACAAAAATTAACCGGGCGTGGTGGCATGCACCTGTGCTCCCAGCTACTTGGGAGGCTAAGGCAAGAAAATTGTTGGAACCCAGAGAGTGGAGATTGCAGTGAGCTTAGATCATGCTGCGGCACTCCAATCTGAGTGACAAAGCGAGACCCTGTCTCAAAAAATATATATATCTATTAGTGGTTCAAGGACATATGTTCACAAATATTTATAAGTTTGTTCCTTCCTTGGAAGCTTTGAAGCTGGAACTGTCTTCAAATTCTCTCCAGAGAGGCAATTCAGGGGAATTCCTAGAACTGAATCCAGGGCCTCGGAGAATCTGAGGCAGAGGCAGCACATGCAGCTCCAGGGGCCTCGCAGGTCTCACCCTGCTGGGTGACGCCTCCGGGCCATGATCTTGATTTCTCCATTCTCTCCACTTTCCTTCCTGCCATGGCCTGGCTTTCTCTTCTTCCCCAGTACTCACTTTATATAATGATAATAGAAACATGTTTGCAGCCGGGCACAGTGGCTCACGCCTGTAATCCCAGCACTTTGGGAAGCTGAGGCAGGTGGATCACGAGGTCAGGAGTTTGAGACCAGCCTGGCCAAGATGGTGAAATCCCGTCTCTACTAAAAATACAAAAATTAGCTGGGTGTGGTGGTAGGCACCTGTAATCCCAGCTACTCAGGAGGCTGAGGCAGAATTGCTTGAACCCGGGAAGCAGAGGTTACAATGAGCCAAGATTGCACCACTGTACTCTAGCCTGGGTGACGAGCAAGACTCTGTATCAAAAAAAAAAGAAAAGAAATGGAGAAACATGTGTGCTTTCATCTGCATGCCTAAGCTGGGCTCTGAGGTAGGACTTGAACTCTCTGTGACAACCCCAGGCCTGGGTCAGGCCTCCACTGAGGTGAAACACAGCTGAGCAGCTCCTCCCAGCTTCCAAGCAGCTGCAAAATCAACATTTGCATTTTTTAAATGCCCACTTTGCAGACATCCCATATAAGGGATCTAGAAACAGATTTTTTTAAAGAGTCTGTGACTAAGGAAAACATAATATGGTATATTTTGATAATTCTGCAACCCCAAAGGCCATGCAAAGGCCTCATATACCCCAAACACAATCCAAATTCACACAACCCCACAGTTCTGTTCCACCAGACCTACTATCACCTGCAATGAAAGAGGGGCTCTGCCAGGCACAGTGGCTCACACCTGTAATCCCAGCACTTTGGGAGGTTGAGACAGGCAGATCACGAGGTCAGGAGTTCAAGACCAGCTTGGCCAACATTGTGAAACCCCGTCTCTACTAAAAATACAAAAATTAGCTGGGTGTGGTGGCAGGCGTTATCTGTAATACCAGCTACTTGGGGGGCTGAGGCAGGAGAATGGCTTGAACCCGGGAGGTGGAGGTTGTGGTGAGCCAAGATCACGCCACTGCACTCCAGCCTGGGCGACAGAGCAAGACTCCATCTAAAAAAAAAAAAAAAAAAAAGAGGGGCTCAACATGTCAAATTAAATCCTAGGCTGAATTATTAACTTTGCAGTCAGAAAAAGGAACACCAGAGCGAGGAGTCTTAAACTCTCATCCCAGTTTCCCCTGCAAGGCTGGGGAAAGTCGGTTGTCTGAGAAGCCCAGGCGCCTGCCTCCTATGTGAACCGGCAGGGTGGCTCCCACCAGAACCCACTGGTTTGTCCAAGACACAGTAGTCCCAATTCCTTCACAAGCAACCCTGAAAAGAAAGGGTATCTGAGGCGAAGTCTAGGGACCCCACCAGCCCCAAACACAGAGAAAACAGGGTGGGAGGGAGATGGGGGTGACTTCCTGGCCCCATGCACCCTGGCTCACTTCTCAAGGCTAATGGCCTCTTACTAATCACCGACTTCAGTTTTAACTACTTCCTCGGCCTACTCCAAGGCAATGACTAATGTCATGTTTATTATAAAGCATCTGAAACACATTTAGGAACAAATTTCTGCCCAGCCGACTTCAGTTCCCTACCTTGATGTGCCGCTGGCCATCCAGGGGATTCCTTCCCCTGTGGCCTTTCCCACCCTGAAGCAGAGGACACCACAATACTGATCTTAGCAGCCATTCCTTTCCATCAGTTCCCCCACTGACTCCCCACTCCCTCCCTTCTTCAGGATCAGACCCGATTAGGGGTTCAGTCACATGGAAGACTTGTACTTTTATCACAGGGCTAGCTGAGAGAGGGGAAGACATGCCAAAGGTGGATATTCTAGTATTACCACCCTCTATTAAGAAGTTGCAGACCTAGATTTGGAAAACAATCTCTGGCGTGTGGGTTGGGGAGAAAGCCACACCGTGCTCTGCAGTGGCTGCGGTGATGGTTTCCTGGGCTGGAGGCTTCTCCGGAGGCCCAACCTCGGCAGTGGGAGAGCCGTCACGTTGTCTCCTCAGAAGCTGTTCGCGCGCATGAGGCTCTTTCCTCCAGCACAGGATGAGGATGGCAGACGGTGGGAACGGCTCCCAAGGCACCCGTTCCACACCTGACCCGAGGAGCGGGGCCTCAGCGGTGAATCCATCAAAAGAAATGAGAGTAGCAACTGACATCAGCAACTTCCTAGGAGTTGGAAGAGGGGGTGAGTGGGTGGGGGGCCGGGGGTGGGGAGTGGGAGAAAACTACAAGGGGAAATGTGGAGATGAAAAGAGAGCAATGAAAAAAGAAAAAGGAGACAAGCAGACATGTTTCAACTCCAAGCTCCCATTTCCTCTTTCAAATGAACTGCTTCCCCACTGTGAACAGAATCAAGTATTTATGAAGGCATTTTTTGCATATTAATAACTGCATATGGAGCATCGCCAGTGCTGAAGTCCTAAAGGTACGGTGCCCTTTTTTAATGCAGGTCTTTCAAACTCCTCACAGAATTTGGTATTCTCCTTCAGATTTATTTTCATTTCTGCCTCGTGGCTCCTCCTAAGGCCCTTCATTTGATTAAGGGAAATTAGTTTCTGGGATACCTCCGGAGACTGAGTATTGCTCTTACCTCGGTAGGCCACTGACATCAGTCGCTGGAGAAGCTTTTCCTCTCCCCTAAGGCCTCTCTGTGTAGAGGCCGCAGGTTGGGTAAGGTGACCAGCACCTGAGAAGAGTATTAAAATTATAAATGAAAATTTCAGGAGGAAATATTAACATAGCTAGATGGTGGTGGGAGAAAGCAAAACTGAAAAAAATAATTTCATTAACTTTAACATTACTATCTATACTCAGTAAAGATTACCTGCAATTCTGAAAGAAAAACATTGAGATCCATAATGAAAAAAATAAGCAAAAGATAGAAACAATTCATATCCAAAAAGGAGTAACAGAAAATAAATGTGAAAAATTATTCATCTTGATTAGCAATTTAAATGCATATTGAGGCAAACTGTTAAGTACCATCTTATATCTGAGATTTGTGCCTCCTCTTACTCTTTTTAAATGGTAACACCCAGGGCTGCCAGGGTTTTGGTAAAACTAATACACGCTTCTGGTGAATCACAGTCTTGGTTCAATCCCTTTGTAAAGCAAAATGGCAATATAACTCATGAAACATGAAAAACATAAAATATCCATTGATTATGTATTTCTGACTCCCGGGAATTTATCCTAAGGAAATAATTCCATGGAAAAAAAAAAAGTCAGTGAAGATGTCCTTTGCAGCATTATCTATAATAGAGAAAAACTAGACCAGGCTATAATCCTACCACTTTGGGAGGCCAGGGTGGGTGGATCACTAGGTCAGGAGTCCGAGACCAGCCTGGCCAACATGGTGAAACACTGCCTCTACTAAAAATACAAAAATTAGCCAGGTATAGTGGCAGCCATCTGTAATCTCAGCTACTCGGGAGGCTGAGGCAGGAGAATTGCTTGAACCTGGAAGGCAGAGGTTGCAGTGAGCCAAGATCGTGCCATTGCACTCCAGGCTGGACAACAAGAACAAAACTCCGTCTCAAAAAAAAAAAAAAAAAAAAAAATTGAGAAAAACTGGAAACAGCCTAAGAGTCTAACATCAGAGAAATAATTTGGGGAAGGTTTAGAATCTTGTGGCCTCCAACCACATGACTCCTAAACCATAATTTCTAATTTTGTGGTGAATTTGTTAGTCCTGCGAAGACAGTCTACTTCCCAGGTAGGAAGGGAGTTT